TATCTCTCTTGTTCTCTTCTCATGTTTGTGTATTTTCAGAGCTTCTGTGGAGATCTTCCCTTTCACTTCTTGCTTTCATGATGATTACAAACTTAGAGTGAAACTGATCTAGAACCAGAGGAAGTAAGAGCAGGGTAAGTTTTGGTCCAGCAAAACTAGCTCTCACCACAGCTTCTTTGTATTTACATTGGGTGTCTCTTTGAGAAGCTAAGAAACCCCAACTGACATGTTCTAGTTTATTCCTTCACCAAACTTGTGAGGCTCCCTCAAACCCATTTGTCAAAATGAAGGGCTGTAATGAAGATTTCAGAGAAGGAAAACAGTATAGAATATTAGAGCTGATTGGGACTTTACTGACATTCATTTTGCAAATGAGTATCGTTTCTTACTGAGGGTTATACTGGCAGAGCTGAGACTGGAACTGGGGCCATAAAGACTCTATTCTATTTGTTGCCTTCCTTGGATCCATCCTGCATGGATTAACTTTCCTTACCTTCAATTTTCACTCTTATTACATTCCTGTTCAAAGGTAAAAGTTCTAGCTTCTTATTTCTCTTTATAAGACCTTTCATGCACAAGCTTATTTTATCTTCCAAACCTTTTCCTTAAGTATTCTCCATGAGCCCCTCATTTTAGTACAAGTGGGCTGGTCCTTGCCTCACAGAAATGCCTTGTTTCTTCCTTGAGTTCACTGTATTTCCAAGCGTTATCCTTGTTGCTCCATTTACCTTTTAGAACCATCTAGCTTTCAAATACCCTGATTTTTTTGTATGCTTTGTGGTTTTTTTTTGTCTTTCTCTTGTCATATATATATATAAATATATCTACCTCAGGTAGGCTTTAAGCTTCTTGAGAACAGGATGGAATTTGATTCACCTGAATATAGGATGAAAATCTGATTTATCTCAAGCTCCAGTGCCAGACACATAAATGTATTCATTTATTAAATTAACAGATATTTGTTTTTGAGTACCTATCATGTATTAGGCCCTGGAATTGGAGAATGATAATTACTTCTCCTCTCAAGGATTCAATAGTTTAGTTTGAGATACAAAGGAACAGAGAGGCAGAGGTGTGATGAGTATGGGGACAGTGTGGTATTCCAGGTGCCATGGGAGTGGAGTAAGAGGGTGTGTAACTTGAACAGGGATTATGTCTTTAAGGACTAGTAAGAAGTGATGCTCAGGATCTAAATGATGCATCATAGGTAGACATCATTTTTAATAGAGAGTTATCTTGGTTGAAAGGGATTTAGTAGAATTTAGTAGATTTAGTAGAATTTCAAGCAGAATATAAGTGCTGAGAAATGTCCTTAAAAGACGCATAACACCTATACAATTATAGAAGTGATTGGAAATATGACTAAGATCTATTATTTAAGAAATTGTTATATCTAGATGACTTTACAATGAAATCTGATAAGCCTTTAAAGACCACATCATTTCATTCTCATCATTAAACTAATATAAATAGTAGAAAAGGGTGAAGAACCCTCATATCTAAACTTAGTAATGATAAGTAAAGCAAGTAGAGAAAGCACTACGGAACAATCTTATGATTATATGTACAAAAAAATCTGTAAAAGATATCCTTTTAATTCATTGACACATCAAAACACTACAGCTGAGATTGGATAGGACTTTTTTCTAGGAGTGCAAAGCTGGTTCAATTTCTGGAAATCTAGCAACATGATTCATTATATTGCTAAATTAAGGGAGGAAAAAAGAGATAATATATTAGTGGATGTTAAGAAAGGGATGAGTAACCAAGGATATAAGCATTCATTCACTTAGCCATTCATGCATAGCATATTTTTATAAGAACTTCCTAACCAGGCAGCCCTGGTATAGTGAGACCACTAAGTAGCTTCCAGCTTATTAAAGCAGATCAGCAGGTGAAAAAATAGCGTCTGTGTGTACTGTTATAAGTATGAAACAAATTCTAGAAGACCCTAGAATTAAGCTACTCATTTTGGGGATAAATTTTTATAGCATCAGAGATGTTTGAGCTGGATCAAGATTTTTTTTAAAAAAAGGCTCAGTAGAAAGTAAAGGCTGTGAAATGACATTGTAGCAGTGAGCACAGCATGAGCAAAGTTCAGGGTCATGAACATTCATTATAAATCCTGGGAATGATGTCACTGGGCCACTATTGACATTCTGAAGAATGATAGTAGAAGATGCTGCGAAGATCATCTGCAACAGAGACTTGGCCAGACCCTGGCATTCAGAAGAGGTGGAGCCTCCATGGGGAAGGCAGTGTGGGGGTAATAGATGGTGCTGTGGAAGGCAGAAAAGATGGTGGAGTCGGTGGTTTCCATACAGATGCTTAAGTTTACATTGTTCACACTCTCCCAGAAGGATTCCAGTCGGCTGGCAATGTGGGATTGCTCTGGAAATGTGCTTCTTTGCTTTCAAAATCATTGCATCCTATATTAACCCATTTTTTAAAAGTTTCCATTTTGAAATAACTTTAGAGTTACAGAGAAGTGTCAAGGATAATATTAACCCATTAAAAAATGTAAAAATAAAATTTATACTACAAAAGTGCACTGTGCATTAAAATTTCCAAGCCTTTATTTTACTCTACTTATTCCCCACTTATACTCACTTGAGTCATGTTGAAAGCAGAACAGACTCTTTGATCCCTTTTTAGTAGAAGACCGAGAATCAATTTAAAAATTAAAATAAGTAAAAACCAAAATTAGTGTTCCTCAACCCTGAGTGATGGGTGTGGTTTTGGTTCCTTTCCTTTCCTTTCCTTTCCTTTCCTTTCCTCTCCTCTCCTCTCCTCTCCTCTCCTCTCCTCTCCTCTCCTCTCCTCTCCTCTCCTCTCCTCTCCTCTCCTCTCCTCTCCTCTCCTCTCCTCTCCTCTCCTCTCCTCTCCTCTCCTCTCCTCTCCTCTCCTCTCCTCTCCTCTCCTCTCCTCTCCTCTCCTCTCCTCTCCTCTCCTCTCCTCTCCTCTCCTCTCCTCTCCTCTCCTCTCCTCTCCTTTCCTTCTCTTCTCTTCTCTTCTCTTCTCTTCTCTTCTCTTCTCTTTTCTTTTCTTTTCATCTCAAATGATTCTAAATATGCATCTAAGATTTAACAACCATGAGTAAGCCAGCTGTTCAAGGATGTTTTTCTACATTGGTTTTGTGCTAGGCCTTACAATGATGATTTACGAATTTGTAAAATATGCTCCCTGCCCTTTTCAGGGACTCACCATTTAGTAAATGTATATATGCACAGCGTGTGCACAGGATACAAGGTGGGGAGAGGGGGTAGAGGGAGGGAAGAAAGGCCCTGTAACCAAACTGAAAAGCTAGTGTCTGGATTCAGTAACAAAACGCTCTTGATTGTCAATTTAAAGTCCTTTTCATTGATATTATGTTATTTTCTTTTTTTAAAATCCTCACCTGAGGATATGTTTTTTATTGATTTTAGAGAGAGGAAGAGAGAGAGAGAAATATTGATGCATGTGAGAAACATCGATCAGTTGCCTCTTGTATGTGACCCTACCAGGAATCAAACCCTCAACCTAGCTAGGTGCCCTGACCTGGAATTGAACCAACAACTTTTTTGGTGTATGGGTCGATGGATGTTCCAACCAACTGAGCCACCCAGCCAGGTCAATGTTATATTGCTTTTTATTGAGAAAACTATACCTCCAACACTTTGCTCTTTTTCTTCTGAATAGCACTTTACAATATATAAAGCACTTTAATATTGTTATCTTTTTTTATTGCCATAAAAACTTGGAGGAGGAGCTGAGGAGGACAGAGTTTTTATCTTAATTTTGAGGGAGAGGAAGTACCTCA